TCTTAAGTTTATTTAAATTGATAAGATTATTATCGAGGGTTGATGATAAATTTGTTTTATTTGTGGATGTATGTAACTTATGAATTGATTGTTTTTGAAATACATTATTGGTATGTCAATCATTTCGATGTAAGTCAGTAATGATTTACGAAGAACATCAAAATAAGAAAGTTGCGAATTATTAAACGGAAAATAAGTCGATTGGCGAAGAGGATTTGTTTTGCCTATTTCAACAGAGTCAAACAATCTGAATTGTTGATGGGATGTCTGAACGGTGAGTATTTATACTGAATAAAGATTTTCGTTAGTTTTATTTTTAAAAACAATAAAACCAATTTATTTTTACTTTTCTTAATAACTATTAAAAGCTTCTCTCGTGACTAAATTTCTATAATACCATCTTTTCATCTTTCGACATCAATATTATAATATGTATTAATCATTAAAGTAAAATATTTAGTTTCGTTCATTATGCAATGCCCAAAAAAAACGACTCAAAATTAAATTATTCGCATACATTGGAATATGACGATGTGAATGATGATAATAATGATGAAGATGAAGACATTAGTGACAATGAATACAACAACGAGAGTACCAACAGACTAGATCAACATCTACCTAGTTTAATCCAAATTTTAATTGTTTCACGTTTAATTGGAAAACGTATATTTCATCTTAGTCGAACAGGTACAAAAAAATTTTACAACAAAGTACGACAATATCAGGAATTATCCCAAATTGATAAGCCTGATGATATCAATTATGGATCTCGAATGTGTAAATCGGCGGAAATTCTTTGTAAATTTGCAGCAATTGCTGAATTGCTCAAGATAACATTGGAAATTTTAAAGTAATTATAGAAAATTTCATTTCTTTTCGTTTTGTTTAACATCAGAAAAATATTAATTCCATATAATATAAAACAATAATCATCAAAAATAAGAGAATATATTTGACTAATTTTATTCATTATAGAATTCTTCGTGATCAAAATCAACTTGATTATAATGATACTAGTCTTACTTTTATTCGAAATATAACATATATAATTGAAAATAAATATCCATCAACAAATATGATTTTGGAAATCAAAGCACCTAGTTGTCGTTTGGCTGGTCAGCTTTTATGCAGTCATTTACTTAAAATGTTATTTGCATGTTATAATGTTAATCCTGTTCTTTCTACTCAAGAAACAAATATGAATCCAACAATATCATGTATTAAAAAAAAATGGGA